TGCGTGCGTGTGCGTGCGTGTGCGGTGTGCGTAGCGTGAGTGGCGTGGGTGTTGTGTGTCCTTGTGTGTGTGCGAGTGTGCGTGTGCGTGTGCATGTGAGTGTGTCACTGTGTGGGCGTGTGCGTGTGAATGTGTCACTGTGTGTGCGTGTGCAGTGCGCATGTGTAACTTTGGACTTTGTTTTTGTTTTCACGAGACTCGGGGTATTTTATTCAACTACATGTGACAAGCAAACAAATACAAATAAGAATAGCTTAAATATTTATCTTATGTATCTTATGTATATATGTATCTTACATAATGCATAATTATAGCTACAGAAAGGCTATCTATATACTCGTAAGGCATATTAGAAGAAATATCATGAAAAAAATATTATTAAAACCTCAAACCAAGTGACGACATAATTCGTATCGTTATGCAGTGCTTATGGGGCGTCAGTGACGCGATCGGTGTTGTTTCACCGGCGTTCTGCTGGTGGTCACGTGACTACTGATCTGTGAAGTAGCCCGTCCGCACCTTAGTGTGATGGGGAGGAAACCATCAACAGCACGAAACTGGGGTCAAGGGCAGTGGGAAGAAGTCGGATATTCAGACATTTTCTGAGGACATGGTTTACGTCGACCGAGTGCAAAATTTTTGTTTCAGCATGACCTACACGTTTTTATCACTTTTTTGAAAGGACCATGAAATCTAATTTCGCTAACGTGCGAAGAGTAAGTGCTGATAACCTTTTGACCTCAGAGAGGAGGTTAAACATGGATTTGTTGACGTTAACAAAGGACTTAACTGTTTTGCTATTAGAGCCCCCCCCACTCTTCCCCCCCCCCCCCCCACCACCACCACACCACCACCACCACCACTACGCTCGCGCTCGACGCAATATCCATGATAACATGTTATATAGCGAGTCATTAAGTTCACAGCTGTATCTTTTATTACTGTACTACAGTAGGTATAGCAAAGCCTATCATAGATTTTAGATCTGTATTAGTAGTATCCTAGATATATGCTCTGAGCGTGAACGCAGTGGCAGGAGGGCGCACTTGATTCGGTTGCCAGTGAGTTTATCAGAAGAATACCTGGCTACAGTACACGTCAGTGAGTGCTGTCGCTCTGCGGCATTGTATATGAGTATGTTTAGGACTAGGGTGTAGGGTACATTCTGTAGTACAAGTCTGCGTACACTTGTGTATACCATATATGTACTCGGGTCACATATATGTATTACTGATACGACAACGACCCCTTCAGGTCACTGACTCAGTCTAGTTATGAGACTAGAGTCTACTACTACTAGTACTATCTAGACTAGGTAGTTACTAAGTTATAACAAAGTAGGCTAGTTTTAGAGATAGGCTAGTAGTACTAGTAGTAATATCTAAATATATGGCCGAAGTTGCAGTTGTAAACTACGATTGTGCCATTACAGGCGGTCGTCTGATTCTCCATTATTCTGTGAAGTAATGCTGAATCTGTGCCACTATAATAATACTAAGAGTTATAGTAGTAACTCTTCAGAGTCAAAAGTAGTAGCATAGTAGACTAAGATTAGTAAGAGTATCTTTAGTCGATAGTCTAATAAAGTAAATATTGATTCGTATAATATACAGTCTACAGTCTAAGATATTCGTAGTCTATGCCATAGTAGTATTAATAAGTGTTTGATGTCGATCTGATGCAAGATCAACATTGTCATAGTTTGTTATAGTTATGTTATATGGTCACGATAGATGGCAGCACTGGTTCGACAGTGATGCACGTGTGGTTTGCTGCGGAGTAAACGTACTTGTCACAAACTCTACGAGTTCTTTATCTAATTGCGTATCCGTAGTACGAAACTACGACATGGTGTCAGAAGTGGGATCCGAACCCACGCCCTCATACGCCTCGTATTTCATTGTCTAATTCACTACAGTATTTCAACAACGCCAACCGCTGAACTATCCAGGTCGACGGCCTCGCAACGCGGCCTTGGCGGCAGCCTGATTCAGGACAAGGGCCAGTCGATTACAGAAGCAGGCTCCTGTCTGATACAGAGACTCGTACCTCAACATCGAGAGAGAGATGCTAGCCATTGTACATGGTCTTGAGAAATTACTACTACGGTAGGATGACACGTTGTTGTAGAGACAGATCACAAGCTGTGGAGGCGATATTCAGAAAACCTCTCTCAGCGCCCACCTCATATCTCCAGGATGATGCTCGAGTACAGAAGTACGACGTTGAAATTAAGTATGTCCCTGGGAGGATATTCACTAGCTGACGCCTTATCGCAGAAAGCGCATGCCCAGGTACACGGCTGACAAGGCTAGATGTTTCTGTTCACGGCTAGCACTACACTTGAATGCTAGCCCCACACGGATGAGTAGATTAGGACGCAACAAGCAAGGATGACGTGTTGCACTCTTCAGATCCCTCATCACACAGGATGGCCTAGTAAGAGATAACACACCTTTATGGCGTATTGGAACTATGTGACGAACTGACTGTTGCAGACGGAATAGCTGAAAGGCACACGCATCATCATTCTGCGCATTACATCTTGCTGTGCTAGAACAACTGCACATACGCACACCAAGGTGCTGAGAATGCAAACTCGTGTCAAAGATCCGTATTTTGCGGTCAATATTCAGAAGGACATAGAGGAGATGGTCAAGGACTGCCCTCCAGTTCAGCCACAACAGAAGGCAATATGAAGAACCCTCATGCCACATGCATGTCCACGCAGGCATGGCACACACTGGGATCCGATTTGTTTTTCTGAACAACAGCCTCCTACTTGCTGGTCTCAGACTATTATAGCAAGTTCCCATTGGTCAGAAAGTTGAAACAACATTCGTTCTGAACAAAATCGCTCACATGAAGTCGATCTTTGAGGAGTATGGAATTCGAGCAAGCTCGTTACAGCAACGATACATAGGCTTACCTCAGCTCTTGTCCAGAATTCAGTGAGACCTACGGATTTACCATGTTACCACAAGTCCATACTACCCAACAGGCAAATGTTTCATAGAGAGGACTGTGCAAGAACTGTCCAAGCTCTGTGCAGAAATGCAAGGAGTCGAACAAAGACCCACATATGGCTATGCTTGCCTAAGAAGCACACCATTACAGCATACACATTCTCCTCGCCAGCAGAACTGCTCAACTCAAGAGTCTACCAGACCAATCTTCCAGCAACTCGAGCAGCATGCACACCGTGCCTAGTCGATGGTGACACTAACGGCGAATCTACAGAGAGGCAGGAGAACAGAAGTTGCAGTATGACAAAACCTCTAAGACATTATCTGTGCTCCACCCAGGTGATTCTGTACGTGTACTAGATCTCCCACAGCCATCACTGGGACCTGAGTGGTGAAAACCAGGTGAACATAATCGCATCCTATGTTGCTGCGCGACAAATTGAAGCAGATTCAGGCGAATCGACGCCAATTGCGGCCTACAGGAGAAGCTTCAGCAGCGGCAGGCAATAATCGCATCAGAGCATGCACAGTGCTCCATCGCCTGATCCTCTGCCTGCTGAGAGGATATCGCTTCAGTCAGATTCGTCGATCAGCCAGAAAGTGAAGCACCTGAAAGATTAGACTTATGAACATTTTCTGTAGCGCATATCATTGTTTTTACACATAACGTCATTCCTGAAAGTTGAGTTCAATTTTAACCTTCAGAAAGAAGAGGGATGTCATAGTTTGTTATAGTTATGTTATATGGCACGATAGAGTGCAGCACTGGTCCGACAGTGATGCATGTGGCTTTCTGCTGGAGTAAAGTACTTGTCACAAACTCTACGAGTTCTTTATCTAATTGCGTATCCGTAGTACGAAACTACGACAAACAGCATGGCTAGATCAACATAGCACACAGCAACAGGAAAGGCATTAACATAATTTCATAAGTCAACGTATGTTATTTATGGTCATGGTAATTTACAAATGGTTACACAATAATACTGAATTGCTTGCTTATAGACACAGAAATGGGAACGGATGGTGCTTGTAATGTGCCTGTTCTCAGCATTGCAGCCGAGTGCAGTGTGATGGCCATATTGCAACGGTGGAGTAATTGGCCAAGTTACGGAACAAAAGGCACGTGTCTTTCATACTTGGAAACAAAAACGAGTGTAACAGTGCAGTAGTTGGCACACAGCATATGCAGGTAGTATATGTTGATGGAGACGCCCCTTTATTAGATAAACTTGTGTTACGGGTGTAATGAATAATGATATTGTATATATCATGATACTCATACACACAGAAACACGCACACATACAGGGGTAGAAATTAACTTTTGAACAAGGGAGTCCAACGGACTCCCTATCCTCAAAAAGAGGGAGTCCGCAGCAAAATAGGGAGTCCGCAGTCTGAGGTTCAAAATTAAAGTAATTAACAATAATAGGCATGTGCTTATTTTTAAGATTCATGCAGTGCACATCGTGCCAAAATTTTGCGACATTAGCTGAACAAATACAGTAATTCGCGAGGCCGTGCTCCGAACGAACTAGTTAGTATGTCAGAATTTCAAGCGGATGCACACGGACTCCTGCATATGTCAAATCAGGAGTCCGACAGTAAATCAGGGAGTATTGACTCCGGACTCCGTTAATTTCGCACCCTGCACATATATAAGATAGAAATAAATAGATAGATAGAGGGAAAGAGAGAGAGGAAAGAGAGAGAGAGAGAGAGGGAGGGAGTGCGTGCGCGTGTTTGTGAGCGAGAGAGAGAGAGAGGGAGTGCGTGCACGTGTGTGTGAGCGAGAGAGAGAGACAGAGAGAGAGACAGAGAGACAGAGAGACAGAGAGACAGAGAGAGAGAGAGAGAGAGAGAGACACGAGAGAGAGAAGAGAAGAGGAGGGGGGGGAGGGAGAGGAGGAAGACGGCGGGAGAGAGAGAGAGAACAGAGAGCAATAGAGAGAAGGAGAGAGAGAAAGAAAGAAAGAAAGAGAAAGAAACAGAGAGGATATGCACCTTAACTAATCTCATATATGTTGTTGTAGGTGAGTGGCTAGGCGTGGAGTGGGACGACCCATCTCGTGGAAAACATGATGGATCCCACAACCAATCACGTTACTTCATTACAAGGTAGCAGTGTATTTAGACCCAGATGCATTCTTTCTTACTGTACCATAGTGTGATGGTATATGAAGCTATTGGAGTGGAGCTACATGAAATTGTAACTTGTAGGTCACACCATTATGATAACTTGTAGGTCACACCATTATGATAAGTTTGGTAAACTAGAAGACATTCATTTTCAGCCAAATATATATTATTTATTCATCGGATACTAGTTTACAGTTATATTATATTATTTACATATCAACCTGTACACCCGACAGACAGCCGCCCACAACCCTCTCTAGCTACACCGAACAAAGATTATATACCCTGTTGTTCCAAATCCTATCTAAAAAAATTTGCTAGCTACTATTAGTAATAGAGGATGCAAACCAGTTAATATTACTTCTCACTACAAAAGACTAGTTGTCCATTTCTAAATTAAACACTACCTCTCACCCATTTTATTTTCATGAAAAATGTACCCAGACACCACATGAACCGTTGCTACTAACAAAAGCAATTATATTAATCTAGTCTAAACCTACTCACTATATAATGTTTCATTTCATTTATCATTGCAGCCACCCAACGTCTGGCTCATTTGTGCGATTGGGTAAAATCAGCACAGGCATCTCCGTGAGTGATGCGATCCATGAGAAGTATAGCCAACCCATCGATGTAGCCAGCCAGGTGTGTTTTAACTTGGTTGACATTGCACATTGTTGTAGAGGTCACACCCTAGCATCACCTTACTTTTATGCCTGCAACGATAGAAAGGGAAAGGCAAATATGCAAGATTTCCATGCATTGTTACAGTAAATAACTTTTGTTCTGTTCAAGACCATAGGTGCACAAAAACATGAGAAAAAACTACGTTGAAATTGTATACCAAATGACATTGTTCACCTTTATTTTGATACGTTTTCTCCATATCGCACAACTGACACGTTTCCAAACTAAAACGTACTTAAAAAACTTAAACATAACATGAGTACAAAGAGCATAGATAGGTTGTTTACTTCTCTTTGATATGCTGTTAGTATATAGCTTATAGTAACACATTGTTATGCACTTTTGTTTTGTGTACAGGAGGCAATGTTTGTTAGAGGTGTGAGAGGAAGTACTAAGGCAGTGGAGTTTGTTGGAGCTGATAAAATTAGAAAACAGCAAAGGTATTATTATAAATCTTACGTCTTACGATATGTCCTAATATTAAGATGAAAATTACATGAACAGAGAATTGCACATCGATTGCCAATGCCAATACATGCATTAAATTCTGATTTCATCCCATTTCAAGTTCTCAACCTATCTTTGTACTCTATTCTTTACAGAATCATAAATATAACTTTGAACATTTTTCATTTTTTATATTAAATTATTTCAAACCTACCAAGTCAAACATTTTAAAGATTTATGGAAATAACATTTTTTTATTTCACTTTAATGTTACAAGGTACAGGATGGCTATTACATTACTTATCTTTAAACATTTAATTAATTGAAACATTACTTAAAAGTTAGCTCATAAAAGCAATAGGTCTTAACTTTGACAAATTTATTTATGAATTTAACCATTTGAAATGGCCCATTTCATCTATTAATTCCACCACATGCACTCCTGAATTCCCACACGCATGTATGCATGCACATTCCCACACCCAGTATGAACAATGTAGCACTATAGCTTCACATGTTCTTAAAATATATCTATAACAGGAAAATAAATTTAATCTGAGTTAGATGCATAAATTTAATAAAGTTATAAAAACTTACACTGGCGAAATTTTCGTCTATCTCACCGTGAGTGAGATATACAAAAATTTCGTCAGTGTAAGTTGTTATAACTTTATTTTGGATCTAACTCGGATTAACTTTATTTTCCTGTGAACTGTAGAGATCCGATGAAATTTTTCAATCGTATATCTATAACGGTTGAGACAATCGCAATTGTATTGTCCTCATGAAAATTATGGCCACAAATGATGATTATCAATAATTCTATCATTTATGTTTTTCAGTAAGCTTAACCTCCTTAAAACGGCTGTGTTGGATCATATGTCTGTCTCCTACGTCAGTCCTGATAGCTTGTTAGAAAAGCACATGCCAGACATCACAGAATTGGACTTATCAGCAAACCTTTTTACCTCATGGGAAATGGTCTCTATGGCAACAGTGCAGCTGAAGAACCTGAGAATTCTGAACGTTAGGTAGGAGGTAAAAGCTTCTGACCAAGCCACAGTTTTATAGCAGAACCATATTACATCTATTACGTCTACAGGATCCAACAAAATTATGCAAATATCTCTAATTTATCTCTTGATTGTCATTTCACTTCCCAAGTAATGCAATTTATAATGTCTCTGTTCACTGCAATACCTAGCAATGCATTTTTGTTCACAGTAACAATGCATTAAACTTGCCACCAGATGATATGAGTTTGATCAGGTGCTTTAGTCAAGTCACATCCCTCACAATGAACAGGATGAGGTATACATGGGAGCAGGTATGCAGACGTTGCTCTATTCTATAACTAGTACTTTTATAAATAAGTAGATCACTATATTTTGCATGTATGCTGTATATTTCATTCCAAGACATTGCTGTGTATGTCATTAGCAACCAGAAGATGGCAGCAGTAGATTTGCACATAGACGTGTTTGCCTGATACAATAGTTACCTGACACAATAGTTTGCCTGAGACATACAGTTGGGAATGAATACATTTTTCTCAGGAAAGAGGTGGCATTGAGATGTCTATGTAGTATCAGGCCCGTAGCCAGGGGGGGTTTGGGGGGTTCGAACGAATTTTTTTTTGAAAATTTGCAAGAATTTCACCTCAGGTCGCTCCATTTTAGTGTAATAATTGCAAAATCTCCATCGTGCGGGAGGGTGAACAGTGAACACCCCCTCCCACACCCTCCCCCCGCTCGGTCGCTTGGCTCCCTCGCCTGGTCGCTTCGCGCCCGAGCAGGGGCGTGTACAGGGGGGTCCAGGGAGTCCGGACCCCCCCCCTTGCTCGCGCAGAAAACGCATCTGAGGGGGTCTAATTTAAAAAATTCCCCAGACCCCCCTTCGCGTGCTCGCAACTTTGGGTTACGGTTAGACCCACCCCTGGTACAAATCCTGTACACGCCCCTGCCGAGCAAATTGCCAACATTGAAAAACGAACAATATAAAGCTGGCTACGGGCCTGTAGTATGATGGTGTTTTTATGTAGTTTCACAGAAATGTTGGACTAGAACCAGCACGCTATACCAAAGAGAGTAGTGAATTATATTGCGTCTATCATTGCTTTAATCGCTTTCTTCTTGCCCATGTTCTAGTCAAGTGGTAGTAGTTATTAAAAATCAAGCAAAGGAAACTGGCTTTAATCTTAAGCCTAATTTTATAGTGTATGCGAATTATTTGAAAAGTTTTTAATGAAAAGGGGCGCTGCACTAGCAAAGAACTGAGCTGTTTTTTTATGCTTAACTTGTCCAGCAGAGTTGGATCTTATCGAAATGCACCTCTTTCCTATTCCTATTCATGCTGGTAGGCACCATTGTGTTTAGTAAGAGCCTCTCTTATTGCTGATGTCTTCTGGTGAAATCCTGACATTACAGAAGTGCCTTACTGTTGCAGTATTCTATAAGGACGCCTCTGCATTTTATAGGTACTGTACCTGATGCCAATGTTTCCACACCTGGAGCAGCTTTACATTTCCTTCAATGACATCACGACACTGAGTGATCCCGGAAACAGCATGGCCTCCTTGCAGTCTCTTGTCCTGGAAGGCAACCCTCTGACCGGATGGTCGGAAAGCGTTCTCCCACTTGGGGATCTCCCGTGCCTAACAGAGTTAAATCTCAATAGCACAGGACTGACAGAGATTTCTTTCCCTGGGAGGGATCGTAAAACAACGTTGTTCGAGCACCTAAAGGTTTTTATCCATCTGCAAATCAATAATATTTATATACAACAATTACTATTTTACACCAAAAAATTACTTGCATTCTATACAGTCGCTGTTGCTAAATAGACTCGGACACTATTACAGAAATCACTGGTCAAATTAGCAATGATGTGCTGAAATTATTAATATCAATTATTATAACATTAAAAAAACACTGAAAACATGGTGTATGCAGGTACTGTGTAATCATGATCTTCGTTATACCTTTGATAATTTTCTCGTTAGTCTCGTCCCTTAGTCGCAAGGAGATGCACACTGTGCATTCAAGGAGATGCACACTGTGCATTCCAGTTCTCGTCTGATAGTGCGTTCACTGATAGATCGTTTTTGTGCCATCACGCAGGTTCTCTACCTGTCTAACAATGAGATTGGCAGCTGGAGGGATGTCAGTGCTCTCGATCGACTGCAGAGTCTGCAGGAGCTAACGTTCCACTCGAACGCGCTCTCGCGCATCGTCAACCAGGTGGCGCTGTACGACGAGATTGTTTGCCGCGTCGCTGGGCTCCAGCTGCTCAATCGGTCGCGCGAGGACCGGCAGGGAGCCGAGATCGTCTACGTGAAGAAGTACGGCAGGGATTGGTTGGCAGCAGGAGGTCGCCGAGAGTCGAAGACGAACAACCCGAGCGCGGAGTTCTTGCTCGATCATCCGAGATACGAGGAACTGATCGCAAGTGAGTGAGTTTTTTTAGAGTTTTTGTGCACTCCTTATAAGGACCTGAACCAGATGGAAGGTGATGGATTATAGAGGGCAGTGTAAAGAGTTTTGGCTGCTTAGAGATGTTGCGAAGAATACACAGTATTACCCCCGCGTTATGTAAATAATGCGTTGAAGAAAAAAACGTTCACAATGCAAATAACCATAACGTGAATCATGTTTTCTCATTGATATCGATTATATAATTGGAGGTGCTTTACTACAGAAAATCTTTCAGGTAATAAGATGTAAATAGGACAACTATGAATGCAAGTAAACATGATTATACTGATAGGAAACAAAAGTTCAGAATTATAATTACTGGAAGGGAAAGGGAGCGACACTATTACCAGCTGTCCCGCTATCGTTATCTCTATTATTAGCAGTTTTGGATGATTCGGGCCCTGACCTGGAGGCTGAAAATTATAAAGTTGGTTGTGGATAACAGTGAATCTTGTATAGTTCCCTGTAGCAGCTAAGGTGTGTGTAAACAACTCTTAAAATAAGTAACATCAGAAGTAAGATGATAGGATCCCCTGTTATCTAACTCCGGGATGGTAAAATATACCTGCAATATAGTGGACGTATGGGAGAGTGATTTGAGGAACATGCACATTCTGTAATCAGTGCACTTGTAGATAATTTATAAAACTATATAGTAAAACTATTTAATGCTGTATTGGTTCATTATACAATTGAAAGATCACCTAAACTCTTGGCAGCTGGCGGTATATTTATTGTGTAAACTTTATTCACAGCGATAGAGCATGCCACTGTTTATTATTTTGTACTATTTTTTATTATTCTGTCACTCATTCTTTTGGAAAATTATATGAAAGCAAATTTTTGGTGTATTTTGTGATCAAAGTGGTCACAACTTAATTTAACCTAATACAAATTATGCATATATGTGAATGTACGTAACCCAGGTTATCATAAAACAAAGTATTACTGTATAGTACAGAATCTTTCTAGAGCCAGCAAACGCATTTTATTTATACGCTATTTACATATATATCTTTGTTTAGTTAGCAACATTAACACATTGAGCTGCATTATAAATGTGGATTTTCTTCCTGGCATAGAGTATGGAGCCCCTGAAGATTATGAATTAATAAAGGCAGACAGCACACTAAGGAAAATACTGCTGGAGGTTATGATAGAGAGCCCCAATGTTCCAGAAATGAAAGCCATACACAAGAAACTTCCAGGTGAGCAACAGTGAATGACAGAAAAAGAGGAAGGAGAGCATGCACCTTGTTCACAAGCATAGAGACTTTAGCAGGAAATAAGCTTTTTTGGGGGAATATTATTTACAGTTTGTCACTGTAGCATCTATGTGAATAATATTTCCAGACACACTGAGATTTTCATCCACAAAGTAAGCAGTTTTTCAAGGCGACTAGTAGTAGTTAATGCCTATTACAGTGGCATGTAAGAAGTGGTATGATATCGTCATCTATAATAAGCTTTTGCAGACATGGGTGCATACATAGGCTTGTATCTAAATCTTCTATATATAGTTACATGTGTACGTTTCAGGCAGCATGACGGTACAGAAACTTCGAGGCCTAGTGCAGCGCCTGTACCATGCTAACCCAGCATCTCTCAACATAGCCTATGTGAGCACTAAGGTGCCGGGCCCCAATGTCGACTTTGACAATGACATGAGGCAGATGTCATTCTATGGCATAGAGAGCGGAGACACTATCCTAGTTAAATGGTGAGAAGACTAGTTGGCTCTATGCATTGGGAAGATGAGATGGTGAGACAGCATGGGACAATTCTCACTGTATTGGTGAGATGGTGAGACAGCATGGTACAACCCTCACTTGCATCCATGAGATGGTGAGACAGCACGAGACAACATTCACTGTATTGGTGAGATGGTGAGACAGCAATGCGTACGCCACTGCACCGCACAGTGAAGTCCAAACTTCTGCATGGACACGTGGCACGTTACACGGTGCTGCTTGGCATGCAACCTTGGTTCACACAGCAGCTAACTGTATCTGAATCTGGCTGGCAGTACCTGCGTATTTGCGGTCGAGTATCGAATACTAATTCAATGTTTCTGTGGCATAAACCATGAAACTCACTCGGTCATTATAAGTCGGCTAACTTTATAAACAGTGTCTAGTTAACTTGCCATCTATTGTTCTTTACTAACCATCCTATATTGCGATTACGGTGTATAGTCACTTTGTGAAGCATAAAGTGTTATTTTTGAGCATTTGACCTTTCCCAATTACAGACTTGCGTGAATATCATATAATACGTTAATAGTACGAAGCTGATTGGATTGAAAATCGGCATGCCGTGGGGTACGTGCATGTGCCGCTGTGCGAATGCAATCGATGATCGCGTAAAAACACATCGCGTCAACGTGAGCGGTTATATTTCACAGACTTTACCCATCATATTCATTAGTATTTACTGAAAAGTTGCATTTTGTCACTTCTCAATCAAACAGCAATAATGCGATCAACTCACCTGACCATGGGCGAATGGAACACCGACTACTCCTATGCCATCTCGCCGGATAAACCTCCGTTGCTGCCGAAGTAAAGCTGGTCTTCGTAGAGACACTGTTTCTACAAACTTACACATAGACCGACTTCCCCACATCGTTTAATAAGACACTATAGTTGTGAAATACTTAGGTAAACGCGTTTGCCTGTGAAATTAATCGGGTCCCACGACTAACAAGTTAACAACTAAGAGCGCCGACTAACAAGTTAACAAGTTTTAAATGTATAGACGAAACACGCGAGTGCGAATGGCATTTTCTGCTTCGCATTCATTTTGCTACAGCGCCCTCTCTTGAGCAGAAACGATGGTTTTTGTGGTTTATTTATACCACCACAGCCACCGACTAACGAAAACTCTCTCTGCACAAGTTAGCATATTTATATCCGATAGATGGCACATGGTGAGACAGCATGAGACAACCTTCACTGCATCCATGAGATGGTGAGACAGCACGAGACAACATTCACTGTATTGGTGAGATGGTGAGACAGTATGGTACAACCCTAACTGCATCCATGAGATGGTGAGACAGCACGGTTGAGCCCTCACTGCTTCTATGAGAATAGATGGTGAGGCATCACAAGAAATCTTCCTGTTGACTTGGTGGTATCACGAGACAGTATCCAGCAGCCCCAACTGTACTAATGTAATAGTGAGAAGAAATAATGCTCCTGCTGTGCTTAATCATCAGGAGAGTATTGATGCAGAGAATGATGTAAATTCTAGACCGTAGGTGGAGCCACCATACTGCAAAAGAAACGCTCACGCTCAGTTTTCTTTTTTAATAAGGCCAAAAAGTACAACTGCTGAATTAACGACAGGGGATGGGAAGCGTTTAGCTAATGTAGTAGGTCTGTTTTCAGCTGATATTCCTCATAACCTCATAAATAATAGTCTTCAAAAGTCCAAGGGACTATAACGAAGACGGAGAGACAAGTTGATCAAATCGACAGATCAACACTGCGGTTCGCAGTGGAAAAAAACGCAAATTTGCAATTTACTAAAGACGAAGGGAGAGAATTCCAATACGAGATGACAGAAACAAAGAAGCTAAACCCAAAAGGATCCTTAGAAGATGGCACATGTCGAATGCAATGATCACGCTCAAGTGATCGAGATATTCATTATTTTTCTGGTCGTCACACAGCCCCCTAAATGAATCATTAGCCTTTGTAAATTCAAAGTGAACAAATAATGGTAACTACCCAAAAACCAATTAATGGTTAATATATATAGGGTTAGGGTTGTGATTCATCAGGTTGATTTCGTCAGGTTTGTGATTTGAGAATTCCAAATAACCCATATAATGGTACTTCTCTAGCTGAACAGACTATAAGATAGTTATAGTACATGCAACTGTTTGCTGATTTGAGTTGTTGTCACCCTTTATTGGAACTATGTTTTGCATGCTACACCATGCTATCAACACATGCAATCGAGTTGAAACACGGCATCCACGTGTGTATAAACGAAAAGAGTTTAGCACCCATAATTGGCTCATGCCAGTTCTAAACCTCGAGTCTACATTCTGTACCAAAAATCTGTATTAATTATTTAATAATTAAATGGCAGTGCAGTACTGTCTTTGCCTTATGTAAATATGCTTCGAATATAACACAATATGTGTATGCAGTTGAAATTCAATATTCATTTTTGTTTGAGTTGCTCACATTCAGTGTTTTTCTGATTCAGACATAAAATTTGCAAAGCCACTGAGTGAAAATGAATGACTTGCATACAAAATGTGATATTAGTGGAATCAAGAGCTAATAAATACCTAGAGTGTACAATGGGAAAACGGGAAAATAGTGCGCTTTTACGGCAATATTATTCTACTTTTCCTGCGAGTCTAGAATAATTTTATGGTATTGCATTAAGCAGCATTCTTTGCTCTCTGAGTCAAGACCAACCGCGTGTCTCTACGATACTCCTAGGCCGAGATATTTGCTCGTAAACCTCCCCTCCCACAGGCCTCACGCCGCCTCGCATCCAGATTATTCCTGAACCTGCTCTGGCGATTCTGGCTATCGTTTTCCGTCGCCGCTTGGAGTGCCGATAATTGATGTCACAATAATCGGGAATAATCGGGAATAATCTGGATGCGAGGCGGCGTGAGGCATGTGAGAGGGGAAGTTTACGAGCCAATATATCAGCCTAGGAGTATCGTAGTGACAAGCGGTTGGTCTTGATTTAGAGAGCAAAGAATACTGCTTAATGCAATACCATAAAATTATTCTAGACTCGCAGGCAAAGTAGAATAATATTGCCGTGAAATAGCACTATTTTCCCGTTTTCCCGTTAGGTATGTATTAGCTCTTGGTGGAATAATAGTCCAAATGTTGCAAAAAGCATCATCATGACTAAATAGCTGTAATGTTGACATAATGATGCTTGTCTATCAATACTTGCATGCTTAAGGATTGCATCATACAAAAAGATAAAATCAGGAGTACAAAAGCACTTATCCGCCGTACTCCTGATAAAAATAGCATTGATACCAAAGAAAAATGGGTTTTACAATTCAATGTCATAAATTATTTTTTATTACAGTATGGAAAATAATTGTTACATTTTTTACACTTTCGTTATACTCGCAGTCAGGAAAATTTCGGTCCCTATAACAAGAAATCCAGCAATGTACGGTAAAGACACGTCGTAATCGTGAACGTACCCACGGGATATGACTAAGCTAGTCTGTTACAAGTCCTTGTTCTATGTCACTGCTGACAATAAATTGATCCAAGATTTTGTTATAAGCAGCTTCCATCGGCCTCTGTACATGTGAATAGCACAGGTTTTATTGGTAGTTAATGTGGGTGAAAGTATACACTATCTACAGTGTACGCACTATTCATTTAGCACACATGGATTGCTTAATTGCCCTACCCTAGCGAAAACTACAACTTGTAAGAATTTTTAACATTTGTCTTGTCTTGGGTTATTGTGGTATTGCACTTTGAATGACACATGCCACTGCCGTGTTGTTCCAGCAAACAACAGCCAAAATGAGACAACGAGAGGCAAAGTTCGATTAGGCCTATTAAATGCAGTGCATGATTCCAGTGAGACGTTAATAAATTCTACACAATTCACTAGAACACTTAAAACATCACACCTATAATGCCTACACACGTTACACATCTAATAGTATAACCGTTTACTTTAACAGTTTTGTTAAAAAACTGCCTTCAACTGTCAAGTGATATCATTTAATAAGTGTTCGAGGGTCAAGCTAGCTGGTCACATTGTTATTGCCATCAACCAAAGAACTGTTCATCACATTTAACAGACAATGCTGATGGTACTTACTACGACATTGTTACACCATCACTGCATACTCGTCTGGTTTAAATAACGTTTTTGGCACAAAGCTGTGTGATTGGATGGACAGCATGTATCAAACCTTCCTACTAAACGCAGACTTAACGAGACAACGAGTTTACTCGAGGCTTACACAACGTAGCTTCAAGAATCGAGTGGAGAGTTTGCTTACTAAATTAGCCACATGCACCAACAATAGCAACGATTGTAATCCATTACTATAGATAAAAAGCTATGTACTTGCCATGTGGAATGAACTTAACGTCGTTAACCACTTCACGTTTGATTTGTGATTGTACGGAACAGGTGGAGCTTGCATCTCATTTTGCTCTCTAATACAACCTCTGTGAAATTTCATGTTTCAAAAACCATTTTACAAGCAGGTTTGGAGTTTTAAATGGATATCACCTCTACTTACAGGCACAGTAGGATCCAGAGACATAAACAAGTCAAACAAGTCAAATTTACTCTAACATGCATAAATTATAAAACGGAACGACAGAATTACAATGCAATTCTCGTTCCCAATAGTTTGCATCAACAACTAACTTCAAACACACCACAGTTTTTAGCTAAAACAACGAGCAGAAAAGGCAAGTCATATTCTTCGCATTTTAAAAGTTGCTTATTCCTTACTGACGTTCCCTGCTTACCGAGTATCGTCTGCAAGGCTGTTATATGGACAAGGTCCATTCTGATTAATTACTGATAGAGTGCAGTTTTCTTTACCCCTTTACACAACCAACTACTGCTCCATTGGACAAACACACAACCAAGCCCACACCCACCCACTAAGTGATCATATAGAGTTTTCTAACTTAGGCAAGTAAAGGGAGTGCAAATAAATCAAAACGACTATTGCTATTAGCCATCAACGGAGTCGCTATAGATTCTAGATGTACAAAATATCAGATGTTTGCCTAGTACATAACGTGGGTAATGACAGGAAAGTAGGCACTTTTAGAAACATATGCGCATCTTGTGTTGTGTGGATTGTTTGTCTGATTTCTGTATTATTGTGCATTCAGAATTGTAGGTATGCATCGCCAATATTACTGTGGCAAGGAGATAGACCATCTTTAGATTTCCTGTCTGATGGAATGACAATGCACCAGCATGACTTTCCATTCAGGGTTTGTTATCATAGTTGCTTGGGATAAGAACCAACAGATCTGATATTTAGGCCTATGAAATAATGTTATAACTACTCACACCACACTCATATTCGCTCGTGAGCGTAATTGATTTCGTAAGCAAACTCATGTATAAGATTACCCTTAGAAGATTTATTTTTTTTGCAGCAATCCTTCTCAAGCGTCTGTGGGTAGTTATCCGCAAAAAAAACACCCACAAATTTGCTTCGCCTGTAATATAATGATAATAGCATGACCGTATGAATATTAACTTGAACATAGATATATTCATAATAATAGTCATGTATGTATAAGTTTAATAATAATAGTCTAGCAAGAAATGGTATGTTAATGACATTTTCCAATGGGCCATTGTTTGTTTTGTGAGTTAGCCAGGTTACAGTGAACAGGAAATCTGGGGAAGGCGGCCTGAGATACCAGTATACACTCACGCACGCACGCACGTACACACACACTGTATACACGCACATACCAGCACACTCAATTCACTCGCAGACATTCATACCCACGCACGCACACACTCACGCGTGCACATAATTTCAGCACATAAAACTACGTGCACGTAATGTTAGGCGTCTGGCACTTCAACTTGTCAACGTTCTTTAATTAGGCGACACTAGGACAATATAAAAGCTATATACACACACACACACACATGCGCGCGCACACACACACACACACACACACACACACACACACACACACACACACACACACACGCACGCACGCACGCACGCACGCACGCACGCACGCACGCACGCACGCACACACACACCAAAA